CCAATGGCGTTTCCACAGGAGACGTGGATGCTGGTGGCAGTGGTCTGGGGTGGGTGGCAGACAGGCACAAGGCTGGTGGCGCTGCATCACTGCCTGCTTGCAGTGGGGTGCTCGGTGTGTGTGGGTACTCGGGAGGTTATGGAGAAAGTAGGAATGTGTTGTAGATTCATTCTGATGTGAGAATTTGAGAAGTTCTTTGGGAAAGAAACTTACTTTGAAATTGATTCCGCTTAGCTTGAGAGAGAGAAGGAAAATCGTTGCATGTCAGCATCTGCACGTTTCGTAAAGTTTCTGAAGCATTTTAAGTCAGGCATGATGACTCACACCTGTAATTCCAGTCACTCAGGAGGCTGAGGCGAGAGGATCGTTTGAGACCAGCCTGGGAAACACAGTGAGACCCTGTCTCAAGGGGGGGAAAGGGGATAGTAGAAAAAGCATATTTTAAGTGGAAATAACTTTTTAATATTAGTGTTTCCCTCATATTTTTGTTCATAACTCCATCATCAGAGGACTGGATTAATCTGAGACAATAATGGTTTGGAGGGGATCTTTTTAAAGGATACATATACAGTGTGGGCTTTGTGATGTGTTTTTCTAGTGATATACCCAAAATAACAAAGCTCTTTGTAAAAAAAAAAAAAAAAAAAAAAAAAAAAAAAGTTTCAACATTAAGAAGAGGAATTTTACTAAGTAATCTTACCAAGCTGGCAGTTACCCATGTTGTATCTCCTTTTTCCTCAAGGCATAGAGGAGGCCAAAGTGAGGTTCATGTGTCAGTGTCAGGGTGCAACAATGCCCCACTTTTCCAATTCCTTTTCTTCAGTCCCCCCTGCTGCCCCCTCCCAACCTCCAAGCCCTAAAAATAGCTGATGGATGGATCAGGCTTTTCATAAGTTTTTAAATCATTTGGTCTTACGTTTTATGGCATTTCTTAGAGTACTTAATTTCTTAAAAGTACTGCCACTTGTATGTTACTGCAGTGATGTTTGTGCGTGTGTGTCTGCGTGTACCCTGATATGCACATGAACTTGGTAAAATTGTGAACTTAAAAACTCATCTTAACAGATTTTACTATTTACCACCTTCTACCATTAAGGTGTGGCAGCTAAAAAAAAGCATTAAAAAGAAGCACACATATAATTCAGTGTTTCATTTGTCTATTGTGGTTCTATAATATGTATGTCTTAAATAGAGCCTTCCCTAAGAGGAATTTTAAATACCAAGCATAGGGTGTGTGGGCATGTGTATTTCTTTTCTCTTTGCTCTGCTCTTCTCTTCTCCCTTCTCCCTTCTCTCTTCTCCCTTCTCCCTTCTCCCTTCTCCCTTCTCCCTTCTCCTCCCTTCTCCCTTCTCCCTTCTCCCTTCTCCCTTCTCCCTTCTCCCTTCTCCCTTCTCCCTTCTCCCTTCCCCCTTCCCTTCCGACAGGGTCTCAGTCTGTCATCCTGAGTAGATTACAGTGGCATCATCATGGCTCACTGCAACCTCAAACTCCTGGGCTCCAGCAGTCCTCCCACCTCAGTAGAAGCTGAGATTACAGGCACATGCCACCATGCCCAACTTGGGTGTGCATTTCTGTGACAAACCCACACATGGTTTTCTGGATCTTAGAGTTCTTTAAATTCTGAAAACTTAGAGATTGACTGATAAGCCAAATCATAAGATGTTTAAGCTATCCTCTCTCTAATGGGGTTGAGTTTCTTTTGGAAAGATTATCTCCAAATCTCTAGACTCACTGGAACTTGCACTTAAACTCTCTGACCCTATGCAAGTTCAGGCCTGGTCAGGGATGGCCAGCCAATGGCCCTAGCACCCCTTGAATTGGTAACTAAAATAGGTGCTAATGATGTTTTTCATGTCTCTCCAGTATTCTTTTTCTTGACCATTTAGATTTCCCTCTATTTTTTTCTTCCTTTAAAAGTTGCTTATTCTTCAGTAAATAAGTAGCTACTAAATGATATTGTTAGATGGAGGCAATTGGATTGCCCCATGATATATTCAGGGAATTGTGTGTCAGGTATTTAGTAATCTGAGGATGTGTAATTCTTTGAGTATTTTTCTAAGATACTCTTCTGAAAATATTCAGGGGGTCCTTTTCTGTTGCGGGAGCCTGCGGACAGCCAGCAATCTCATGCTGCATGGGAATGCAGGGTGCCCATCGCCTCTGTCATGTGCTTATGCTTTAACCTGTTTCAGTTTAGTTAGTAATTAACGTTTTTCAAATGCCAGGTCCTGTGCCACGGGCTAAGGATATAGGGAGAAAAGGCAGCCCCCATCTTCAAGGAATGGGCTTGAAAATTCCTATCAGTTTGTCTCAACCCTTAGACCTCTTAGTCTTTAGTCTCTTAAAGTCTATGCCTTGGATTTTTTTTTTTTTTTTTTTTTTTTTTTACATTTCTGTTGCCTATTTTAGTTGCTTTTCAAATAATTGAGCCAGCTTCTCTGCCCTTTGGTTACCATATCTAGATCTATGCCATTCTGATGTGACCCGGGCTTAAAGAATCTTCCATCACCTCCCTAGTAAGCCTCATTGCCCTTATTTCAGCATTTTGTTTCTTCCAATGAAGCTTTTTGTAGTAGTGGTGGTACCATATAATTTATAGTCTATGATATATTGGACAGTAAGATTGACACACTCTTCCCTTCCCTACCACTGCAGTGGGGAGATCATTTAGAAGACTGAGTTCAATTTAAAGCTAAAGCTCAAATTATCTGCTACAAATCACAGATAATCCCCCCTGGAAAAAAGCTAGATTTTATGGTGAAAGGTGATTGGCATACATTCAATTCATTGTATGCATGTTGGCATGTGGTCAGTAATGAAGGAAAGGTCCAGAGTATAGATGATTCTGTGGTGTTATGGCACATGTTGAATTTCTGGCAAATGCAAAGCAGTGAAGGGATTTGAGCTCAAATTACAAATTCTTTAAATTGCCAATTTTCCATTTTCTTTGTTCATAAGGACTAAGCACATTGATAGCAGGTCATTGTCATCTTGCTGTAAATTTATGACACAGTGATAAGCAAAAGCTTGCAGAGGGAAGTCACTGGGGCTGCGCATCTTCAGCTGTCTGTTCTGGAGAGTGTAGACATGCGTGTGAGAAGCGTAGGAGTGACGGGTCCTGAAAACCTTTGGCTGAGAGTGGTAGCGGGGTCATTACGTGTGCGAGAAAACCTTTGTGCTGTTCGGTTAACAACTCTACAAATTAATAACTGTCTTGGAAAACTGGGCTTTATTAATTCAAAAGTATGCTTTATCGAATTCTTTATTTCTCATGTTTAAGATTATTTGAACATGTGCTTAAGTAAATGTTGGACGTTAGACTTTGCCTGATTGTTGGTCCTTTCAGTGGGAAAAATACAAACCCTGAAAGTTTCCCCCTTGGATATAGTATAGGAAAAAATGTTGGTCCCAACAGTCACTTCTTTCAGCCCACCAGTCGCATCTTCCCCATTTCTGAGAAAGAATACAAAGCTGCGTAGGCTCCCCTTCTAACAACAAAGTCCAGGACTAGGGAGTCAAATCACCTGTTCAAAGGACAGGATGACAGCATACATCTTTGATTTCCATTTGCAGTTTTCCCACTACATGTGTTAAGTCTTAAAAATCACAGGTAACCATTGTCCGATAGCAAGGGTGTGTATGTGTTTGGGTTCTTTGTTGCAATTAGCAAAAACCAACTCTTGTTAACTTAAACAGAAGGGACCTTATTGGAAAGATATTAGAATTAAAGGATTATTAGAATTGGAAGAATTTTATTAGAATTGATGAGAAGACCAAAGAACTAGGCTTGGCTTAAATAGGAAACAAGGCAACTCTGGAGGCCCAGGAACCACAGTCTGTCTGAGGGAGTTGGGACTGATGCTATCTGGGCAGGAACAGGTCATGCCAGCCATTGGTGCTCACAGAGGACGACCATCTAACCGGCAGCTCAGGTCATGTGACCATACCTTGCTGGAGGGAGGTGGCGCCCTGATTAGTCCCACCAGGCCTTATCCAAGAAAGGTCACTCTTCAAAGGGAAATGAGGATGAACTTAGTGGGAGGAAGTCATGCGAAGCAGCCCAAAGCAACAAATGGCCACCACGGGGTAGTAGAAGGAATCGAGAGACAGAAGCAGCCAATACTCATTTTCCTTTGGCAGATGAGGGTTGGGAACATGTGCTCATGGGCATTGGCTGTGACCTCTACCTGTGTCCCTGTAACCTCATCCCTCTCTTCTCTCGCTCCCTTAGCTTGGGGCCTGGAAGGGCAGTGCTGTTGTGACGCTGACTTGCACACTCACAGGGTATCAAGTCTGTGTTTCGGAAGGTGCTGGTGGTGAAGCGGTTAGACTTTGATCCGTTTTGAGAAATCAGACTTTTTAAAAGTCCCTTTTCCTTGACTGTTTCAGTGTTTGCCTGTTCCCTGTGGCACAATTTACTAGCTGCTAATCAGTTCTATCCATAAATGCTGTTATTGAGAATTTTACATTTTAAGTATATTAGTAGCCAAACTTTGACCTTTTGGACTCATCTGGATAAACAAATTCATCCCTTAGTCTGATTTTGGTTGTTAGACATGTTATTTATGTAACACACATAGTTACTAAAGAAATCTTGCTGAATGATTAAAGCTAACTTTAAAGAAATACTAAGTTACCCTGCTTAACCTTGTTATTGGAGAAATGGAGGAATCCTACACCTTATTGTGGCATTTTTTTCAAAGGAGAGTGCAGTCTTTCAAAAAGACATGAATTTTAATAACCTAGAATGTTGGGAGGACATCTTTTTGCTTTCAATATTTATTATTTGTAGTCTACCGTCTTGGCGTAAGAAAAAAATGAAATGCATCTTTACCAAATTAAATAATGACCAGTGATACTATTTGAGTTCCCATAAAGCTCCAAATTTCTGTAGTTCCCGCCATCTACCTCTAAACTGTCGGTCTCATTCTAAACAAGAACACTCGGGGCACTGTCATGCAGTGTTGTGGAAAGATGACCTTCTGTGTTTCTCTTGCAGCACCCAGTGCTTGATGAGCCGATAGCTGAAGCTGTCTGTATCATCGCAGACACGGATAAGTGGAGTGTCCAGGTGGCCACGAGTCAGAGGAAAGTGATGGACAACACGAAACTGGGCCAGGACGTCTTGGTGTCCAGTCAGGTGTCCAGTTTACTCCAGTCCATTTTACAGCTTTACAAACTTCACCTCCCTGCAGATTTTGTAAGTGTTTGTTCTTCTCTCACCAGAGAAATATAGTTTAAAAGTACTTTAAAAAAGATTTTGCTTATAAAATCACAAATTCAAAAGTGTTGTTTTTAATATAATTAGAGGTTAGCATAAGTAAAAATAGAACATGCAACATAAAACCAGCAAACAGGATAGATTTCAGTAACAATAGCCCTTCCATGAAATAAGAGTGGCACTGAAATTCTTTTGAACAAGGAACCAAGGTATGTGGTAAAGGAAATAAGGTATAAGAGGGAAAGATCAAGCATAAAGGGAAATTTTAAATCCTCCTTTGGAGAACTCATTAGTTCTCCTTTCATTAAATTAATATTAAGCAGGGATTGCGGCTTCTTTTGTTCAGTGGCTATCTTCACAAAGGTGTTGAGGATAAAATATATTATTTGGTATAAACACTTAATTTCTTTTTTTTTTCTTTGCGACAGGGTCTCACTCTGTTGCCCAGGCTAGAGTGAGTGCCCTGGCATCAGCCTAGCTCACAGCAACCTCAAACTCCTGGGCTCAAGCAATCCTGCTGCCTCAGTCTCCCGAGTAGCTGGGACTACAGGCATACGCCACCATGTCCGGCTAATTTTTTCTATATATATTAGTTTGCCAATTAATTTCTTTCTATTTATAGTAGAGTCGGGGTGTTGCTCTTGCTCAGGCTGGTTTTGAATTCCTGACCTTGAGCAATCCGCCCACCCCAGCCTCCCAGAGTGCTAAGATTACAGGCGTGAGCCACCACGCCCGGCCAACACTTAATTTCAAAGTACTATACACATGTAAGATGGTATCAGTTGCTTCTTTTCAAAGAGGATTTTAGAATCACTTTCATAACATTTTAGATACTAACAACAAATAGAGCCTGTAAACTCCTAGAAAATTAGCAGCTCTCAGTCACTGGAATTAGCATACATAGCAAATTCCTTTTAATATCTGTGTGTATAGGGAGAAAGAGGAGATATACATAGAGAGATATATGTAGAAAGGGAGGGAGAAAGATTTCTAAAGAGGAGGAGCTGTTTTTCTGGTGGTGATAACCACTAGAAAGAAAAAATAAAAGCGAGGCTGCCGGGTTCATGGCCAGGAAGGGCTTAGGTGAGCCGGCCCTGGGGGCTGCATGCGGGAATGGAAGAGTCCGCTGCTCTGCCGCTCTCCACGGCACAGCCCCAGACCCAAACATGATACAGACCTGCCTAACAACCAGGTGGGAAGCTAAATGTTTAATTACTTCTGCTAATTGCTAACAGAGTGTTCACTTTCCTTGGGTTCTTATGACCAAATCTATACTCGCACCACATTCCTGAGAAAAAGTCATGACTTTTCTGGCTTTGAAGCAGGTGCTCTGAAATACTGCCTGGTTGTCGTCAAAGGAGTGACGGTGTGGTGTGGCAGGAAGACCACTGACCGTGGCTGGGCTAAAGCCTAGGCTTTGCCATTGATTAGTTGTGTGGCAGTGGACAATCATGAGTGTCTCTGAAGCTCAGCCTTCTCATTTGTAAAATGAAGATAGTGCATACTCGACAAGTGTGCTGTGAGAATCTTCTGAAAATTAGGTATACAATACTGCTTTTTAAACTGCCAAAACACCAGGCCAGTATAAGATACTTTAAAAACCAGTATATGTTAGTGGCCAGAGCATGGCCTTTAGAGTCCAATAGCCTAGAATGAAATGCAAGTTCTGCTACTTACTGTGTGACCTCTCAAAGCCTTAATTTCCTTACCTGCAAAGCTGGGGAGATAATGGAACCTATCTCATATGGTTGTGAAAATTAGAGAATTAACATAAAGCACTTGGAATAGTGTTAGTAGCTGTCAACTGAGTGCTTATACCCTCTATCAGTATGATGGTCGCTAACAATTAGTTTCATGAAACAGTATTAATGGTAAAGACTGACAACACCTTTTTACTAACATCTTTATTTGGTCTTTAAACGGAAGCATACTCTTGCAGGACATCCATGCCAGGAGTAATACGACAAGTATTTATATGGTATGATGAGGTCATTTTTTGTTCTACATTTGTAGGCAGTTTTTCTTTCTAGTGTAGGTTTGGTTTTGCTCATTTAGAGTCTTTTTTCTGTAAGGGAAGAAAGACTTCATGGTTTTTTACTGCTGTAATTATTTATCAAACTTATACATTTCATTCTATAATACATAGCTCTTTTTACATTTGACATCTTAGTTATCAAAGCAACACATTACTGTAGCTAATTCTTTTTACTTCATTTGGGTGGAAATGTTTAACCACTTAAAATATAAATGACATATTTAACATGACAAAACTAAGATCAAGGAAAATTTTATCTATTGTTTAAAATTCTCCTTTAATATCACTTGAATGAAACATGATTAAATGGCTATTAGAACCTTCAGTACAAAAGGAGAAATCAGTTATTTAAAATTTTAGAAGCTAAAAATTGAAGAAATCCATCTTAGAAAAATCCCAGAAAGAGGAGGGAAAAAAAATCAACACAGTTCTATTTGATAATCAAGTTTTTAAAAAAATTTTCTAACTGCGTTAATTTCACATTCAGCATACATTCTATACAGACCAGAGTTCTATTTCCACATTGCATCATACAGTTTTCACGCAGACTGTGAAAACACTGTAAATTAACTATTTCAAAACATCCTTTGATTCAATGTAAAATGAATGTTCTTGTTAATATTTAACATTCTTATTAAAAACTTTGTATTTCACTCCAGAAGGAACTGAAACTTAATAAGAGATCCTTTTACTACTTAACTCTGTTTACTGGGGGTGGGGTACATTTCCACGAGAATTGGCGAAATCTTCCTTGCTTTGATTATTTCTCATTGTCACTTAGCAGTTGTGTTTCATCCACTTGACACAATGCGTTTAAGATTTTAAACCAACGAGAAACTGAGAAGATTGTATCTCCTGTAGATACTTTTCCCATGTCACTGAGCAGCCCAGATGGTCAAGATCAACATTTTCAAATGCATCTGTTAATCTTTTTACCTTGAAAATAACAGGCCTAATGGTCTAGAAGAAGATTATGTATGATGAAATTACCCTTGCCAAAGCCGTCAGGTGTCTTACTGAAGATGCTCGGGTAGCTCTGCCTGCCAAATGCAAAAGCATTTGCCTCTGGTGAAAGACACAGATGGTTGCTATTCTCTAAAAAATGAAGCTGAACACAATTCCAAGGGTAAAGATGTCCTGAAAATAATTGCCTTTTCTTTATTGTTATTAAAGACTTAGTTAAAATATGCTCTTGAAAGCAAAAAAAAAAAAGTGTTCAAAAATGACCTGTTCTAGTTATTCTATTTCTAGGAATGTAATAGGCCAAAATAATCTGAGATATAGGAAAAAACAACAAAGATATTCTTTACTAAATCATTTATAACAAAAATGCAAATTGCCATGTGGTTAAATAATTGTAAATTCACATTCTCAAGAATTATTTAGCCATAAAAATTACATCAATAAAGAATTCTTAACATGGGAGAGGGTTGCAGGGAATAATTGTACTTAGGGAATGATTTCAACTGTGTAAAAAATGTTTTAAAAAGACTAGAATGATATATATGAAAATCTTAATAGTCATTAAAAAGTAAACTTTGTTTTACAAAAATCTATTATACCAAGGTTTAAGATGGCTTGTAATTTTTTAAGTATATTTGAATGGGATGAGATTATACCTGTGTACTTCGAAATGATTTAAGAGAAAGATTGTAACTCTTAAAATACTGGCAGAGGTTTGAATTCTAGCCTTCATTCTGAATGTTATTGGCTTTGCAGTGCATCATGCATCTTGAAGACAGACTGCAGGAGATGTACCTTAAAAGTAAAATGCTGTCTGAATATCTTCGGGGACACACACGAGTCCATGTGAAAGAATTAGGCGTCGTACTGGGGTGAGTTCTGTGACGTGCCACCACTTCTCCCTGTGATGGGCTCTTCCTAGTATTGTACCCACTGACCCACTTAGCCTTGCCACCCTTAACACGCAGGCCCTGGTGACCCACCAAAGTATTTGGGGTCTATCAGCTGTGTGCCTGTGCAGCTCCTCAATAAATAGCGTGTTCCTTGTATCTGATACCAGATTTCACACCTAGAAACAATCGCAGAACTTTAGGCTTAGTGGTACTTTGTTACTCTTCTCCCTGGGTTATTTTTTTGCTTGAAAGGAAAAAAATTTAAATCTCACTCTATCTGCCCATTTCTAGTATTAATATTTTAAAATGCCCAAGTCACAGGCTGTCAGACCCAGAGCAGCAGCTTGTATGTACCTTTCACTTCCCTGAGGAGGAGCTGGGAGGCACTGCCCACCTGGTGGCTGGAAAGGCCCTTCTCTTGGATGTTGAGGCACCTGCCTGCATGTCTATGGGGTGACTGTACTTTTCCTTTTATTATAAGCCCCCCAGAAAGGAGACTTGCTTCTGTTACTAATAATGTATATCATCTTCTAGAGGGTATTTACCATAACTTCTCCAGGGGAAGAAATTATGGCTTTTGTTTTAACTCTCTGCTTAATTTTTCAGCAGAAAAATAACAAGACATTATATATATGGGGAATTGCCCCCTTTATCCATGATCATGATTCCCCTAACTTGGGACAAGAAAATAGGGTTTGTAATGTTGACCTTTAAATTCTCTATGCAGCCTGCTAATCAAGGTATTATTTTTAAGATTCAGGCCTTCACATTCTCGTCAGACTTCATCTTTCACACCCAGAATATAACTGATGTATAGTTTGGCTTTTAGCATTTCCTGTGTTTTTCTTACTTAATTTTTAAAAACATTTAATCCCCTTTTGAGATGTTTGCTTTTGCAGTTAACTTGCACTATATCTCTATTTTCTTAGTTTTTATTTCTTCTCTTTAATCGTGCCTCCCTGACTCTGACAGGTATCCACCATCAACACTATTAGAAGGATCATAAGAAATTATTTCCCCTTGGCACTCATCTCCAGGTCCTCTGAGTCCATTATTAGTGGAATCATGCTCATCCTTCCTTTACCCACTTTCTCCCATGTTTAGGTCCAGCAGCACTAAAAGCACTAGAGAACTTCTTGTCTGCTCTGGTACTAGAGCTGCAGGTTAGCATTACTGGAGAAGGAATAGAGAGCTCCATGAAGTAGTGCCAACTACCATTTTAAAATTTATTTTGGGGAATGCAAGGAAAAGAATTATTTTGTATTACATAGACTGAAACAGTCCAAATTTTTTTTATGATATCTGGCATCATTTGGCCTGGGACCATACTGTATCCCTCTCTGCTTTAACAGGGGCAGCGAAAGCTATGTCCATCTGAAACTGATGTCTCTTAATTCAGTGTCACTTTGCTGTCAAAGTGTTGTGGCTCAAGTGGTTAGTGAGACCCTAAGTTGTATGCCCTGTTGAACAGATTCCCAGGGTTTTTGAATAAATTACTACCATCATCTTCCTAAGACTAATTTGAACCTGGTTGCCAAATCACTATGCATTTAGGAGTGTTGACTGGAGAAACGAAGACATAACGGAGACAGCCTTAAAGTATGACATAATGAAGTTCTACAGAGAACACAGAAAAGTTATAGATGTAAAGTCAGGGTGGGGAAGAATAGCTTGATGTCCACACATATGCACAGCACACTTGCTTCTGTCTCCCTTTGCCTCCTTGGTTGTGTCCACTGGAAGATCTTACTAAAAAAAATACGTTAATTATCTTTCCATCTATTTTACTTGTCCATGAAGTTTGATGATCTAGTAAGCTTGGGCTCTAGAAATAATGCTTTCCTATAAAATCATGCTATGTAAAAGTAATACATTTTTTTTCAATATTCAGGATTGAATCCAATGACCTGCCTCTGTTGACTGCTGTTGCCAGTACACATTCTCCTTATGTGGCTCAAATACTCTTATAAGCTAAAGCTCAGGACAGTTCTTCCTCAGAAGAAAAAAAATCAAATTCTCAACTGAAGGAGAAAGGAATAAGCTCTTTGTGACGTCAAAAGCATAAGAAGAGCAAATGGAAACAGTCATTCCACCTTTTTGTTTTGTGTTTTTGTTTTCAAGCAGATGCTTCATTGGAAGCCTTAGGTTTACTTGACATAATGGCATTTGTGACTGTCATGAACATTTTAGGCCTTTTGTTACCCATGAATCAACAGAGAGTGTGACCTTTTTGGTAGGAGGAAACATAAGCACTACACGAAACACTAAGCTGTTGCGACAGATTGCCTTGTGCTGTTTGAGCAGAAGAAGAAGAACCAGTGACTTTGGAGCAAGGAGGTAAACAATGTACATGACATTCCAGTAGGAAACCGTGTCCAGGTTTAAGCATGAGCACTCCAAAATGGAGAAAGCATATTTTGCCATCCTGAGAAGACAGAACAAGGACTTTGGATTCCAGATTGGAGTTTGCTTTTTACACAAGGCGAAATGAAGAAAGCCACCAAAGATTGTACCATCTTCAACTTTGGTGGTGGCTGTAGCAGTTACTGTTTGACATAAAACATGAAAGAGGATTGCCTGTTGGAAAGCGTGCTTTAGGAACCCACTGTTTTCATTTCTTCTTGGAGTTTACCTTGTTTCAGATGTAGCCACAGGTAGGTCAGAGATGGATTATTGGTGCAATAAACCCAAGAATCAATGTAGCATCTTAATCCCATCAAGATATAGTTTGTAGCAACAAAGTGTACAGTCTGAAACCATATGTTGTATCCTTCTACTTTAGAGCTTTCAGCAGCCTTTTTAAGAGAGGCCATGTACCAAAGTTATTTCTATAAGCTCAGAAGTGTTTCTGTTGGTAAGTTCTTCCAGCTGAAGCCACTTTCTTAGACTAGTTAATACAAATGACTATACTTTAAAAGGCACAGCTGTGCTGGTGGGAAATGAAACCTGCAGTAGTTCAGCATGACTAGTGAAAGCAATTAGTTTGAACATTTAGAAACAATTCTTATATGATCTAAATTTTTACATTATCATTGCTGTGCCTTCTAATCCCTATGTCCTTTTCAAAACATCTTTCCAAAAATTTACCCATTGTATAAAACCTACCAAAATGAATTGTTTTAGCCCAGTTTACTTTAAATAAAAAAAAAAAGCAAACCTTAATTTTCTGTTAATATAAGAAAGTTTAGTTTACTGACCATGAAACAGACTATGTACCAACATCCAGGGTCCAATAAAAGACTTTCTTAAAAAAAATTGGCCATTGAAAGATAGGACTAATCTAGTAAAACAAAACATTGTTAGCACTTTGGAGATTTTGAGTGCAGTTGATTATAACCAAGCACTGATTTCCTTTCACTGTTTTATGAATTAATTCCAGTCCTTCCATACATCCTTTGTAACTAAGATGAAATAACCTCCCTTCTAGAGATTAGAATGATTTAAGATTTTCTATTTGATAAAATCCTGATCCTATACACCAAGTTACACAAGTTTGTCTCTTTATTCTTTTACAAATGCAAATCATTTGTTTGAAAGAGTATAACATGGAGAAAAATCAACATATTTCTTAGGAGTAATTCCTAGGAATAGGTCATAACTGCTACCTTTCCCTCTCTTTTTTTTGACAATGTGAAGTGTAGATGGGTGCATTAAGGCTCTTAAGGTCTTTAATTTTCATTTTATGTCATTCATAAAGTTGAGGTTTTCCATTTCCTTTTGCCTAACATTTGGTATTTTAAATTCTCTAGTTGCATGACACCATTGTTTGCTGTTATGTTACAGAAAGAGAATGAACCTTACCTGTGGCTCGGCTCCCTCGGCATTCGTTTCTCATTATATGTGAATAAATTGTCATAGCTGATGTTACAGCTTTTCCATCTGCACCAGTTTTTAAAGCATTCCCCTCATCTCTAGTTTCCTTTTCCTTGTTTACATGTTTTGGGCGCTTTCCCTCATTCACCATCTTCCAGGTTTTCATAGATAATAACTTGATACAAAATCAATTCTAACATGGACATAGTAGCATGTTGAAAATTCGACCCATATAGGGGAAATTAAAGGGTTGATTCCAAACTCTATACATGAAGAAAAAAAAAAAAAAAATTAGCCCAGACCCTCATAAGCCTGAGAAAATGTAATTTGCCTTTGAATCTAATACTCTAAAACTCTTCCAAAAATGTCTGGAAAACTACAGGTGGGCCTGTGTGGGGGTTGTCTCAGCGACACTCAGGATTCCAGCCCCAGCCTAATCATTTCTATTGCCTACAAAAACAGACCAAGAATGTTGCTGCTCTTTTATAATCCTACTTTAAATACTTAACGTTCAAGTTTCCTTTGTCTTAAATTCAACCTCTTCCCAAAAGCAAAAAAGAAAATCTCATGGAAGTGTGTTGAGATACACCCACTCACCCATCGGGCACCAGTGGCTTCATTCTGGCTGAGCCCAAGAGGCAAGAAAGGGATCCCACCTGCTCCCATGACCACCTCGAGAAAAAAAAAAATTAAAAAAAAAAAAAGAAAGAAATCTACCTCAGTTGACAGGATTCCACCTTTAGGGTTTCTTCAACTTTTAAGTCTTACCTGTTGAGTGTAACTTTTGTAGCATCTTGCTTTTTTTTAAGCAAGCTAGTGAGGCATGACAGAGCAGAAGTGTGTAAATGTTACTGTGATGGACCTCTTTCTAGCATGTTGCAGTTTTATTTTTAATAAATTGATAAGTGAAATGAATGTAAAGGTAATTGTGACGTTTTAAACATGACAATGAAAATTTAAAATATAGCTTCCATCCTTGTGCATAATTCCAAAGTATTTTATTTTTTATCAGTGTTAAATAGCTTTTTGTACAGGCTTCAATCCATTTTTCGGAAGTGTGCTGTTTTTTAATGAAAGTAATTATAATCTTTTCACATCCCATGGAACTGCCGTTTACACATTGCAACTTTTTAAACTGACCATATTTTTCAAAATTAACTTTTTTGAAGGGAGGAAAATCCCCACATGCTAAATGATACTAAACTGTTGTTTGTGCTCTTATAATTAGATCCTGAGATTTTATAAAAATTTAGTCTGTAGCTTTTTAGGTTCTTCACTAAGTTGGTTGTACATAAAAATAAAGAATATAAAGTGACCCCAAAATTCTTTTAAATGTCTGGCTTTTTCCACTAATATGTACTTTTGAGAGCATTTTGTCCATGCATATTTTCACCATTAAATTGAAAAAGTCTTTAGCTTCTCTTGGTAAATGTGAACTGTTTGTGTTTTTATTGTGCTTTGGGGGAGAGGATATTTTAATATAATTTTTGCCTAAATCAACCAGCCCCCTCTGAATGTTTATTTTTAAATGTCAAGATTTGATGAACCATACATCTTGGAAGTGAAATTGCAATATGCTTAAATTTAAATGGTGTTTTAAAAAGGAGAAAATTCTGGGATTTATTATTATTTGAAGCTCCATTAAGAGAAACTCATAGGACTTTATATTTTTGATCAGTTGAATAGATACCAATGTCATTGTGTGAAAATTTGTTTTTAAAACTTGTTCATGTATTATTTTGATCCATTTTTTTCTGTGGCATTTGGTGCAATAAACCTTTTGAATTTATCTTGAACATTTTCCTGGTGCTGCATATGATTTGTCACATTTAATCAAATTCAGAAGTCTCATTTCCAATAATTCATACCAAAACAATTCTATATATGTCAGTGGTTTTCAATGTGGGGACCTTCTTGGTTAGCATAATGACAGGTGAGAGAGAAGAGGGAGTAGCATGTAGAGGGTGGGGGCTCAGAATGGCAGGTGAAATGTCCTGTACCATGAGGGACAGCCCCACAAGACGAGGAACTGTCCCACCTCCTGTGTCACCTTTAAATGTCCTGCCGGACATTCATGTGAGTGAAAAATCTGTTTGTGATAATCTGATAATTCAATTCTGCTTTACATTAAAAGCACAATGTGTTATTTACAGGATTTTAATATATGATAAATTCTCTAGGAATGCAGCTGTTATATAAATTGAGGGAAGATTTTACTTTAACAAGAATTGGTCACTTGGTCATTACCAAGAATTGACGTACTTTTGGAAAACCATGTGACTTAACAGCTGTGATACTCATGGAATTGGAGTCACTGGCAGAGTACATATCTCTGCCTTCATTTGTAGCTGCTGCATTCATGGAGACACTACATAGATGCAAGCATCTGCCTACTTCATCATATTTTCAACCTTCTAGTACATAACACTTACATATTCAACTAGGTACCATTATAAATTACATTCATTCATTCATTTATTTATTGAGACAGAGTCTCACTCTGTTGCCTGAGATAGAGTGCCATGGCGTCAGCCTAGCTCACAGCAACCTCAAACTACTGGGCTCCAACGATCCTTCTGCCTCAGTCTCCCGACTAGCTGGGACCACAGGCATGCCCCACCGCGCACAGCTAATTTTTTCTATTTTTAGTTGTTTGGTTAATTTCTTTCTATTTATAGTAGAGATGGGGTCTCGCTCTTATTCAGGCTGGTCTCGAACTCCTGAGCTCAAGCAAATCCTCCTGCCTCAACCTCTCAAAGTGCTAGGATTACAGGTGTGAGCCACCGTGCCTGGCCTATAAATTACTTTTAAATAGTATATCTAGGGCATTGTATTGGTTAGTCATACAGTATATAGTTATTTGAGTTTTAGGGCAGTAAAGGAGGCATTACAAAATATTTGCTCTGAAAAGGAATGAGATCCATTGATACACTACGGGTCTCAGGAAAAAATATGCCATTGAGGGTATCTTTTGCACCAACATGATGCCACACTGTATTATGTTATCTTAAAGACTATAAGGAGGAGTTAGATTAGGTATTTCAAAATCTTTTCTGATTAAATGAAAATTTCAAGAGTTTCTCATGTTCATTGAGGCAGGGTTTTTTTCTTTTTTTCCCTGCATACTCAACCAAGGTTGGCTTCCCCACTGTGCACTCAACTGAAACAGTTTTGAAATCATGCCATTGGTAAAGGATTTAAACAACACACATACACACCACATTGCTTTTTGGTTCCCTAGTGTCTAGACTGTTCTGTCAGATGCTTTCTCTGAGACGGGTACTGTGACAGTTAATTTTATGTGTCAACCTGGCCAAGCCACAATGCTCAGCTATTTGGTCAAATGCCAGTCTGGATGGTGCTGTGAAGGTATTTCTTAGTTAAGATTAATATTTGAACCAGTAGACTTAAAAAAGACTGAAGTCTCCCCAAGAAGAAAGAATTCTATCTACCTCCAGATCTGACCTGCAATATCAGCTCTTCCCTAGGTCTCCAGCCTGCTGGCCTACCCTGCCGATTTTGGATTTGCCAGCTTCCACCGTTGTAGGAGTGAATTCCTTAAAAGGAACACCTCTGTCCCTTCCTCCTGCTCTCCTATACACATGCACATCCCACTGGTTCTGTTTCTCTGGAGGATACTGGTACAAGTACTTAGGAGATCAGTACAACGATATATGTGGTAACCCGAAATGGAGTATAGTATGATCAGAGTATCGTCATGTCAAGTTATAGCAAGTAGACGTAAGCAAAGATCTTTAACATAATAACAGTATAGACTTTAGAGTTATCCCTTACGGGTTAAAATACAAGTCACATAGTCTCTGAACATGTACTGCAAAGAAAAATTGGAAAACAAAAAAACAGAACCCTCTGAGATGAGAATGAGGTAACATTTCATTAAAAATGGAAGAAAAATGTCCCCTTCTTCCCCACAGTTGTGTGCTAATTCCTATAGCTGTGCATCTCTTAGCTTTCCTAGGGACCTCAAGCCATCATGTATCATCCCTTTCTATCTTCAGATTCTCAGTCTACTGACTTTTTCAACACAAGGTATTAAAAAAATTGTTTCACCTATATTAAGCCTTTCCCTTAAGCCCCCCCTCCCTTTATCCTCTCTTTTGACAGCCAAGCATTTTCTAGAGCTGTGGTCCCCAACCCCCCGGGCCGCAAACCGGTACCAGTCTGTGGCCCCTTAGGAACCGGGCCGCAGAGCAGGAGGTGAGCGGTGTGTGTGAGCGAGGGAAGCTTCATCTGTATTTACAGCCACTCTCCATCACTGGCATCACCACATAAGCTCCACCTCCTGTCAGATCAGCAGGGGCGTTAGATTCTCATACAAGTGCGAACCCTACGGTAAACTGCACATGCGAGGGATCTAGATTGTGCACTCCTTATGAGAATCTAATGCCTGGTGATCTGAGGTGGAGCTGAGGCGGTGATGCTAGTGCTGGGGAGTGTATGCAAATACAGATTATCATTAGCAGAGAGGTTTATCCCCCATCACCCCTTGGTAGTGGAAAAGTTGTCTTCCTTGAAACTGGTCCCTGGTGCCAAAAAGGTTGGGGACCACCGTGCTAGAGAGCTTTACTTGGCTTTCACTTCTTTGCTTCCTGTTCATTCTCTACTCACTGCCACCAGGCTCCCCACTCCCCACCACCTTCACTAGTTCTGAGAGTTCCTTCCTTCCCATGATAACTGGAAGTAATTCCCCATGTGACAGCTGTCAAGCCAACTTTGTGTGTCAAATGTATCGCCTTTGCTTTTTTCTGCCTTCTCTCAATCACTCCTCATTTCTCAATCGAGTCATTGAAATGTGCTCAAAACTCACCTCCCTTTTATATCAAACAGCTCTAATCAACCCTCCAGCCTGAAGTCTACATCTTTCGGAAATGAAAATTTAGTCCTGTCACTGCTCTGTTCAAAAGTCAGCCCAAGCTGGGCATGGTGGGTCACGTCTGTAATCCTAACACTTTGGGAGTCTGAGGTGGGAAGACTGGTGGAGGCCAGGAGTTTAAGAGCAGCCTGGTCAACATAGCAAGACCCCGTCTCTACAAAAAATAGAAAAAATTAACTAGATGTGGTAGTGTGTGTCTGTAAGTCCCAGCTACGTGGGAGGCTGAGGTGGGAGGATCACTGGAGCCCAGGAGTTTGAGGCTGCAGTGAGCTGTGATCAGGTAGGCCACTGTACTCTAGCCTAAGCAACAGAGACAACCCTTTCTCAAAACAACAAAAAGTCAGCCCAGTAAAATCCAAGTTCCTGAGCACTGTGCACTTAAATGGCCCAGCTAATCTCTCTTCTGCAGCCTCATCACCAGATATTCCTCTTTGTGCTCTATTATCCAGCCATGTTGAACCACACTTCCCCAAAGGTGCTAGGTTATTGTTGCCTTTGCCCTATAAATCTGCGCTTTCTTGTCTCCCTCTTCCCTTTGCCTCATCAAATCCCTCCTGATCCTAGCTCAAAATTCAATTCGTATCAAATCCTCTAGCACCTTGCTACTCAAGGTCCCCAGGCCAGCACCAACTAACTGTATCACCTGAGAACTTGATGGAAATGCAGAATCTCAAACCCCATCCCAGACCTGAGTCATAATCTGCATCTTAATACAATCCCTTTGTGATTCGTGTGCACAAATTTGAGGATACTGCTCTTAAATTCAATGTGAGTGAGTGGATGAAGGAAAGAATGTATCAATCACTGAGATTGATGTTCATTTATTGGAATGAAGGAGAGCAATGAGAATGTTTGCCAGCAAAGAAATGGATGATGTTAAAAGTGTCTGTCAGGCCAGGCACAGTGGCTCATGCCTGTAATCCCAGCACTTTGGGAGGCCGCAGCTGGAGGATTGCATGAGGCAAGGAGTTTGAGACCAGCCTGAGTAACATAGCTAGACCCCATCTCTACAAAAATATAAAAATTAAAAAAAAATATCATATGCACATAAATTTTATGACACTTATGGAGCTGTTACTTATGTGGAGGAAAAACAATGACCAAAAATTGAAAAGGGAAAATAACAAATGGACCAGAAGGATAGAACCTGAGAGACACTTTGTGATTTTTTTTTTAATTCCATTTTCAGTTGCCCAATTAACTATTAACTTTTTTTTTTTATTTTTAGTAGAGACGGGGTCTCGCTCGTGCTCAGGCTGGTCTTGAACTCCTGAGCTCAAACGATCCACCCGCCTGGGCCTCCCAGAGAGCTAGGATTACAGGCGTGAGCCACCGCGCCCGGCCTGCTTTGTGATTTAAAAAGAGAAATTGGGGAGAATAGAGTAGAAGAAACAGTTTAGAAATTTGCCCCAGTGGATTTCTAAAAATATCTGTAAGAGTATCTTGGGTAAATGTATACAAGAATGATACATGTTGCTAACTAGCATAAATCGTATATTTTAGAAACATTAATCAATTACAATTAAGCTCTAAACTTTATAAATAGAAAATCAAACTCAAGAGCATGAGTATAAAATATGCCCATTTTCAACCATCTATTTTGATGAGAAAGCATGTGGTATTGTCTACAGGGTTATGATTGTAAAACTCTCATTCAGATCCCACATTTTCACTTTTGAGAGGCTTTCGGTGCATGGTTCTGATGCTTACAGCATAAGAATGGAAAATGTGCTGGCATCTCAGGCATAGTGATGGCAGCCACACATTGGTGTCTACGTGTGAGGCATTGTGTTGGAGGCCGTTCGCATGTGGTATTCATTATTTGCTTTTGAATATATAAGAATACTTGCTTCAATTTATTTTCCCTGAAAAGGATTTATATAAAAGGGAGGGGGGTTGAGTACTTACTGAACTATCCACAAGAGCTCTGCAGGATGGTATAAAAAATGGACTTGGAGAACAAGTATCTAATGTATTAAATATCTCCAGAAATTTAGGAGAAAGCCTGGTTGAAGGAAAGACTATTTTGAATAATACAGTATTTTGTTTATTCTGGAAGGGAAAGTGATCAACCCCCTTCACCAGTGAAGAGTTAAACTGACCTCAGGTGCCTCTTGATGAGATGCACTGAGATGCATTTATCTGGGATTCCTGCCCCAAACTCATAATCTGAATCCACTCATGAAGAAATTTCAGACAAGCCCATATTGAGAGATAGTCTATAGAACTGGCCTGTACTCTTCAAAAAAACATCAGTGTTATAAAAGACCAAGACTGAGGAACTCTTCCAAATTGAAGAAGACTAAAGAGACAGGATAACTAAATGCCATACATGATCCTAGATTGATTGAATCCTGGATCAGGGAAAAATACAAAGGTCATTTAATAAAATTTGATTATGAACTTTAGATAATAATAATAATAATGTATTAATGTTAAATTTCCTGAATCTTGTCAATTGTACTGTGGTTATGTGAGATAATATCCTTGTTCTTAGGAAATACATCCTGAAATATTTAGGAGTAAAGGGGCTAAGCTGGGTGTAGTGGCACGTGTCTGTAGTCCCAGCCACTTGGGAGGCTGAGGCAGGAGGATCTCTTGAGCCTAGGAGTGAGATACGATCACAGCATTGCTCTCCAGCCTGGGTGACAGAGTGAGACCGTATCCCTAAAAAGAGCATGGGAGGAGGGGCAAAGGGAAACATGTCTGCAACTAGCCATCAAATGGGGAAAGAGAGAGAGAGACAGAGAACATTAAAGCAAGTAAAATTAACAACAGATGGACCTGGGTGAAGAGTATATGAGGAGTTCTTTGTACTGTTATTGCAACTTGCTTTGCAAATTTGAAATCAAAATAAGAAGTCTTACCAGATTTTTTTTTAATGCACAAAAATATTTCAATTGGATTTAGTGAATGATAGAAGAAGGTATTGGGGGTAATTGAATTCATGATAACTCTAATCCTACACAAAATTAGTTCAGTGATGTAAAGTAACTAATCCAAGCCTCCTCCGCACACACTGCAATGAAACGTTTCATTTGGATCTATCCCAAAATTCAGACCACACAGAATGTTAGCACTTGAACTGTTCCATTTTTAAACACAGAATCTACCTAAGGTCAGGACCTACCAAGGAGGACGACCATGGCTTCCTCGGAGAATGTTTCAAATAGACATAATTAATTGCTGATGAATCAGCTCTCTGGGGACAGAGGGTAAGTAATATTCTAGCGAGTTGGCAAGATTCTGCAACGGAGCAAGACGACTCCGTGTAGGGAACAGGAGTCTCTGGATCCGAGCTCTTCTATTCGCTTTTCTACCATGGGAATTTGCTGTCAAACTCAATTAGTGAAATCCTGGATGACTACAAAGTGCATCGTGCTGTGGGATTATGCATGAGGCTATTGTAGGAGAGTGGTTTGTACACAGACCTCAGAAAATAGTTGTTGAACATATACTTACACTTTTTTACCTGATTCTCATGCTAACTCTATAAAATATTCAGAACACATACAAATATCCCCATTTTACTTATTAAAAACCCATATACAGAAATTATGCAACTTGCCCAAGAATCAGGAGAGAGTAAAGGAAAAAAACCTAGAGTTTGAACTGGTATATTCTCACTCTGTGCGAGTTTTGAGGGAGTTAGAGATTTACCTCTGTTTCATCGAGTGCTTTCTCGGTCAGGAAGTCACAGAAATGGGCATTCTCTCCAGGTTAAACCTTGTGATAAATAAGCAATTCTAAGGACTAAACCACACAACCTCTTGTTTTCTTTAGCTATAAAATGGGAATAATACCCACTTGCCCACTGAATTAACATTATTGTGGCAATCCAATATTAATGACAAAATGCTTTGGCAAGTTAAAAGGAGATATACAACTGGTTATTCTTAAAAACACTCTAATGTTAAAACAACCTGAATTTTTTCCGTGACGATTCAGAAAAGCAAAAAAATCTTACCTTTTCCTTCTTTGGTAGCTTAGATTGTTCGCAAGGTCTTACTGATGGTGACTTACTCTGCCTAACAAGAACGGCCCATTTGGAATTTCTCTGAGTGGTTTCCTCGTAATTATCCGTATGCCAGGCCATAAAAGCGCGACTATATTTTCCTTGCATATCCAGGATATGAGGTTTTGGTTGCCTGAAATAGGAACAAATTGATGAGTTCTCAGATGGAAAAAAAATCGAGCAACAAGGCCACCAGTTTTCAGATGCTTGAGAGGTGTCTGTTTCTGTAGTCATTTGAGGCGATTCTAGCCATGTGGGAGAGCTGAACACCTGAGCCACCAGCCAGCATTCTGAGAAGTTCCTGGACTCCATCCTCTCCACATCACCGGGCTGCTGTAAGTGCCAGAAACTGCCTGCAGGATGGACACTCGTTTAGGAACCTCATCAATGAACGCACTCCCATGTCATGACTGACCCTTTATGTCTTTTCAGAGCCAAGCAGGGAAGATGCTGTGAGGCTGAAGGTGGCATGTTGCTGAGACCTCTTGAGACCCATGTGTTCTCCTGAAGGACATGGCCTGTCCTTTTTGAGGTCTCCGGGGCATTCAAGAAAACACCAGCTTTTAGATTCCTAATGCTGGCTTTGGCCATCATTTTGGAGGAAAGATCTAGGCTTCCTCCTCTTTCCATGGTGACATCCTTGGGTAGATTTCAACAACCCTAAATTAAAACGTTATCTCAGCTCTGCCTTTCCATCATAAAGGCAGGGGGTGGTAAGAGATGAGGTCTCACTACATTGCCCAGGCTGGTCTTTTTTTTTTTTTTTTTTTGAGACAAGAGTCTTGCTCTGTTGCCTGGGCTAGAGTGCCGTGGCATCAGCCTAGCTCACAGCAACCTCAAACTCCTGAGCTCAAGCAATCCTCCTGCCTCATTCTCCCAAATAGCTGGGACTACAGGCATGTGCCACCAGGCCCGGCTAATTTTTTCTATATATTTTTAGTTGGCCAATTAATTTCTATTTTTTTTTTTTGATTCCCATTACTACTTTAATTTTTTTTTCAACACAAGGTATTAAAAAAATTGTTTCACCTATATTACTTTTCCTTAAGCCCCCCTCCCTTTATCTCTCTTTTTGAAGCCAAGCATTTCTAGAGCTGTGGTCCAACCGCACGGCCGAACCAGTACCAGTCGTGCCCTTAGAACCGGCCGCAGAGCAGGAGTGAGCCGGTGTGTGTGAAGCGAGGGAAGCTTCATCTGTATTATACAGCCGTCCCCCTCCCCAAATCACTGGCACCACCACATAAGCTCCACCTCCTGTCAGATCAGCAGGCGGCGTTAGATTCTCATACAAGTGCGAACCCTACGGTAAACTGCGCATTGCGACGGGACTAAGTTGCGCATCCTTATGAGAATCTAATGCCTGGTGATCTTGAAGGTGGAGCTGAGGCGGTTGATGCAGTGCTGGGGAGTGTATGCAAATACAGAATTATCATTAGCAGAGAGGTTTATCCCCGCATCACCCCTTGGTAGTGGAAAAAATTGTCCTTCTTGAAACTGTCCCTGTGCCAAAAGGTTGGGGACCCACCGTGCTAGAGAGCTTTACTTGGCTTTCACTTCTTTGCTTCCTGTTCATTCTCCTATCCACTGCCACAAAAACAAGCTCCCCATCCCCACCACCTTCACGGTAGTTCTGAGAGTTCCTTCTTCCCGTGATAACGGAAGTAATCCCATGTGACGCTTGTCAAGCCAACTTGTGTGTGTCAAATATATCGCTTTGCTTTTTTCTGCCTCTTTCAATCCTCCTCCATTTCTCATCGAGTCACTGAAATGGCTCAAACTCACCTCCCTTTTTTATCAAACAGTTCTATCAACTCTCCACCTGAAGTCTACACCTTTCCGGAAATGCAAATTTAGTCTGTCACTGCTCGGTCAAAAGTCAGCCCCAAGCTGGCATAGGGGCGTTGTATCCTAACACTTTGGGAGTCCGAGGTGGAAGACTGGTGAGGCCGGATTTTAAGAGCACCTGGTCAACATAGCAAGACCTTGTCTCTACAAAAAATAACAAAAAATTAACTAGATGTGGTAGTGTGTTCTGTAAGTCCAGTATGTGGAGGCTGAGGGTGGGAGGATCACGAGCCCCAGGAGTTTAGCTGCAGTGAGCTGTGATGAGGTAGGCCACTGGTACCTAGCCTAAGCAACAGAGACAACCCTCTTCTCCAAAACAAAAAAAGTCAGACCAGTAAAATCCAACGTCTGAAGCACTGTGCACTAAATGGCCCACTAATCTTCGCTGCAGCTCCCATCACCAGATATTCTCTTTGTGCTCATTATCCAGCCATGTTGAACCACACTTCCCCAAAAGGTGCTAGGTTATTGTTGCCTTTGCCCTATAAATCTGCGCCTTTCTTGTCTCCCTCTTCATTTGCCTCATCAAATCCCTCTGAATCCTAGCTTCAAATTCATTCGTATCAAATTCTAGCACCTTGCTACTCAAACCCCCAGGCAGCACCAACTAACTGTATCAATGAGAACTTGATGGAATGCAGAATCTCAACCCATCCAGACCTGAGTCATAATCTGCATCTTAAACAATCCTTTCGTGATCTGTGTGCACAAATTTGAGGGATCCTGCCTCCTTAAATTCAATGTGAGTGAGTGATGAAGAAGAAGTATCATCACTGAGATTGATGTTCATTATTGGAATGAAGGAGAGCAATGAGAATGTTTGCCAGCAAGAAAGGAGATGTAAAAGTGCTGTCAGTGACAGGCACATGCTCACGCCCTGTAATACCCCAGCACTTTGGGAGCCTGCGCTTGGAGGATTGCATGAGGCAGGAGAGTTGAGACAGCCTGAGTAAACATAGCTAGACCCATCCTACAAAAATATAAAAATTAAAAAAAAATTTCATCATATGCACATAATTTTATGAAATTATGGAGCCTGTTACTTATGTGGAGGGAAAAAATGACCAAGAATTTGAAAAGGGAAAATAACAAATGGACCAGAAGATAGAACCGAAGAGACACTTTGTGATTTTTTTAATTCCATTTTCAGTTCCAATTAACTTTTTTTTTTTATTTTTAGTAGAGACGGGGTCTCGCGTCTGCTCAGGCTGGTCTTGAACTCTTATGCGCCTCAACGATCGCCCGCTCTCCGCCTCCCAGAGAGCTAGGGATTACAGGCGTCGAGCCACCGCGCCCGGCCTACTTTGTGATTTAAAAAGAGAAATTGGGGAGAATAGGTACGAAGAAACAGTTTAGAAATTTGCCCCAGTGGATTTCTAAAAATATCTGTAAGAGTATTTGGGTAATGTATAACAGAATAATACATACTGCTAACTAGCATAATTGTATATTTTAGAAACATTAAATCATTACAATTAAGCTCAATAAACTTTATAAAATAGAAAATCAAACTAGACATGAGTATAAAATATGCCCATTTTTACCATCTATTTTGATGAGAAAGCATGTGGTATTGTCTACGGGTTATGTGTAAAATCTCATTCAAGATCCCGACATTTTCACTTTTGAGAGGCTTTCGGTGCATGGTTCTGATGCTTATCAGCATAAGAATGGAAAATGTGCTGGCATCTCAGGCATAGTGATGGCAGCCACAATGGTGTCTACGTGTGAGGCATTGTGTGGAGGCCGTCGCATGTGTATTCATTATTTTGCTTTTGAATAATATAAGAATACTTCTTCAATTTATTTTCCCTGAAAAGGATTTATTAAAAGGAGGGGGGTTGAGTACTTACTGACTATCCACAAGAGCTCTGCGGATGGTATAAAATGGACCTTGGAGAAACGTATTAATGTATTAAATACTCCCAGAATTAGGAGAAGCTGTTTGAAGGAAAGACTATTTGGATAATACAGTATTTTGTTTATTCTGGAAGGGAAAGTGATCAACCCCCTTCACCCAAAGTGAAGCGTTAAACTGACCTCAGGTGCCTCTTGATGGAGATGCACTGAGATGCATTTATCTGGGATCCTGCACCCAAACTCTAATCTAATCCACTCATGAAGAAATTTCAGCAAGCCCTCATTGAGAGATAGTCTATAGAACTGGCTGTACTCTTCAAAAAAACATCATGTTATAAAAGACCAAGACTGAGGAACTCTTCCAAAAATGAAACTAAAGAGACAGGATAACTAAATGCTGTACATGATGCCTAGATTGATGAATCCTGGATCAGCGAAAATACCAAAGGTCATTTAATAAAATTTGATTATGAAATTTATAATAATAATAATGTATTAATGTTAAATTTCCTGAATCTGTCAATTGTACTGGGTTATGTGAATAAGTACTTAAATGTCAAGATTTGATGAACCATACATCTTGGAAGTGAAATTGCAATATGCTTAAATTTAAATGGTGTTTTAAAAAGGAGAAAATTCTGGGATTTATTATTATTTGAAGCTCCATTAAGAGAAACTCATAGGACTTTATATTTTTGATCAGTTGAATAGATACCAATGTCATTGTGTGAAAATTTGTTTTTAAAACTTGTTCATGTATTATTTTGATCCATTTTTTTCTGTGGCATTTGGTGCAATAAACCTTTTGAATTTATCTTGAACATTTTCCTGGTGCTGCATATGATTTGTCACATTTAATCAAATTCAGAAGTCTCATTTCCAATAATTCATACCAAAACAATTCTATATATGTCAGTGGTTTTCAATGTGGGGACCTTCTTGGTTAGCATAATGACAGGTGAGAGAGAAGAGGGAGTAGCATGTAGAGGGTGGGGGCTCAGAATGGCAGGTGAAATGTCCTGTACCATGAGGGACAGCCCCACAAGACGAGGAACTGTCCCACCTCCTGTGTCACCTTTAAATGTCCTGCCGGACATTCATGTGAGTGAAAAATCTGTTTGTGATAATCTGATAATTCAATTCTGCTTTACATTAAAAGCACAATGTGTTATTTACAGGATTTTAATATATGATAAATTCTCTAGGAATGCAGCTGTTATATAAATTGAGGGAAGATTTTACTTTAACAAGAATTGGTCACTTGGTCATTACCAAGAATTGACGTACTTTTGGAAAACCATGTGACTTAACAGCTGTGATACTCATGGAATTGGAGTCACTGGCAGAGTACATATCTCTGCCTTCATTTGTAGCTGCTGCATTCATGGAGACACTACATAGATGCAAGCATCTGCCTACTTCA